GATCAAACCTTTTCCTATTATTTCCCTATTGCTATGACAGTGGGATGTCAGAAGGGGAATTGTAGCTAGGCAGTGGTGGCACATGCCTTTAATCCCAGCACTTGGAAGGAAGGTAGGAAGGGCAGAAATAATTTACTAACATATCACAGCATGTGAAGAGTGGCGCTCAGATCTGAAGACAGTTCTGACAGCCAAGCTGACCGTCTGAAGCTGCTCGGTGCATAAGCTGTAGTGTTATGAAGTAATCCCAACAGCAACAGCCAGAGCTACGCACATAGGGAAAGGCTGTGATAGACGATCCCTGGCAGAGAGACTTCAGGACATCTGCAGAGGATGGTCAGAGCACGAGAGCGGGTGCACACACGTGGTGCCTATAGACATGCACACTTTATGCACATGGTGCCTACACACACACACACACACACACTCTCTCTCTCTCTCTCTACACACATGGCTCCTATACACACATGCTCTACAAACATCCTTGGCCTAAAGATGAGCTGATTTGGGGCTGCAGAGACGACTCAGTGGTTAAGAGCACTGACTGCTCTTCCAGAGGACTTGGGTTCAATTCCCAGCACCCATGTGGCAGCTCACAGCTCTTATGTAACTCCAAGATCTGACATGCTCACACAGATAGACAGACGTGCAGGTAAAACGCGGTGCACATTCTTAAAAAAGATTCAAAGACGAGCTGATTTTAACAGGGGACTGCACTACTAGAAGATTTTCAAATAAAGTGGGGAAGACTCTAAAGACCACTGGAATGACAAGTGTCAGGAGTGGCTGCTGCCCTAAGGACTGGACTGGAGTCCCCAAGAGGGAGCCGGCTTACTCCTTTCAGCCAAGGAAGGCTGGCAATGAAGCAGCTGGGTGCTGAAATGACCTGAAATGCAAGACACTTCTGTAAGTATCTCAGCATAAGACACATGCAAAGAAAAGCGAGCTTTTATCTATACCATATGCACACAAGTTTGTGTGGACCCCAACTGCATTCTCTGTCCACCAAACTCCTACCTACGGGGCATCTTTATTAGGCCAGGTGCATGCTTTCTCCTGAAGCCACTGTGCCAGTCAGTTTTACCTGCCAACTTGGCACAAAATCGCCTGAGAAGACTCTCAATGAGAAATTAGCTAGATCAGGTTGGCCTGTGGACATGTCTTGGTGTAGAGATTGTATTGATTGTTAGTTGGTGTAGAAAGACCCAAGTTACTGTGGGCAGTACCATTGCCTGGCTTGGGATCCTGGACTGTGTAAGAGTAGAAAAAGCAGGACTGGAGAGATGGTTCAACGGTTAGAGCACTTTCTGCTTTTGCAGAGGACTGGGGTTTGGTTCCAAGCATCTGCTTGGTGGCTCATAACTCTCTGTAACTTCAGTTCCAGAGGATCTCACGCCCTCTTCTGGCCTCCAAAGGCACTGCATGCATATGGTGCTCACACACATACATGCAAGTAAAACACCCATACATGGAAAATAAAAATATATAAATTTTTGTTTTGTTTTTCAAATAGGGTTTCTCTGTGTGGCTCTGGCTGTCCTGGAACTTGCTCTGTACACCAGGCGGGCCTTAAACTCACAGAGATCTGCCTGCCTCTGCCTCCCGAGTGCTGGAATTAAAGGCATGTGTCAACACCGCCTGGCTATAAAATATTTTTTTTAAGTGGAGAGAACAAGCAAGAATCTGCATGCATATCCTCTCTCTGAGTGGAGATAGGATGCTTAAGTTCCTGCCTTGATTTTCCTCCAGTGTTGAACTAGTATTATAAGCCTAATAAGTTCTGTTATTGCCCTATATTGTTTTTTATTTAAATCAGGTTATGTGTCACAGCAACAGAGAAGAAACTAGAGCACCCCTCTATATGCTACACACGACACATTCAAGAATTTGCTTTGGAATATACGGACGCTGAAGGAGGACTTCTAGAAAATTGTTTTTCCATTAATACTTTATTATATTTTTCTACTGGGAAGGCAAAGCAAAAAATGCTTATTAGGAAAAATGCAAAGGTAGAACAAAAGAATACAAATGTCAGCCCCATTTCTGCCACCCAAAAATAATCACTGTTTGTATTCTAGAGTATTTTTCATTCTTTTTTTTTTTTTTCCAAGACAGTGTTTCTCTGTGCAGCCCTGGCTGATCTGGAACTCACTATGTAGTCCAGGCTGAACTTAAGAGAGCCTCTTGCCTCTGCCTCCCGAGTGCTAAGTTTAAAGTCATGCACCACCACTGGGCAATTTTTAAAATTTTTATTACATTTAATTTTTTTCTGTGGGAAGGTAGTGCATTCACACCACAGTGAGACTGTGGTCAGAGGACAATTTACACAGGTCAGTTCTCTCCTTCTCCCATGCAGGGCCTGGGGGTACAACTCAGGTTGGCAGACTTATTGACAAGTGCTTTAGCCCACTGAGCCATCCCACTGACTCAGCAAGGGTTCCGTTGTTTATTTGTTTGCTTGTTTGTTGGGGAAGGGTAGCTCTGCTCCTTTGATTAAGTATATGTGTACATGTATGTAGTCTGGGAGGCCAGACCTCCTGGAGCTGGAATTAATTACTGGCAGTTGTGAGCCACCCAACACAGTTGTTTGGAAATGAACTGGTGTCCCTTGGAAGAACAGCTCTTTCCAACCTCCTGCCCCTGCGTGGGTTATTTTAACATAGATACACCACACATCACATTCCACAAGTCCACGTGCAATTTTAGAGTTTGGTTGAGACAAGGTCTCATGTAGCCCAGGTTAGCCTCAAGTTCAACAAGTAGCTGAGAATGACCCTGAACACCTGATCCCCCTGCACACCTCTCAAGTGTTGGCATGACAGGTGTGTGCCACCATGTAGAGCTTACTCCACACCTTTTACTCAGCATTGAAAAAGGCATTTCTCCAGTTCCTCATCAATCTTTGCTGAAGTTGATGGAGAATTTCAACACACATGCACATACACACACGCTGTGGAATATTAGTTTAAGATGTATTACATTCTTTTATGAAGTGGAATATTTGTCTAATGATGCAAACATGTGTTGTATTCTTTTTTAAAAGGATTTATTTATTTATTATGTATAGAATGTTCTGCCTGCATGTCTGCCTGCAGGCCAGAAGAGGGCACCAGATCTTATTACAGATGGTTGTGAGCCACCATGTGGTTGGTGAGAATTGAACTCAGGCTCTCTGGAAGAGCTGCCAGTGCTTTTAACTGCTGAGCCATTTCTCCAGCCCTGTGTTGCATTCCTTTATATTGTATTTGTTTAACTCTGTAAAGCTGTCTTACTTTGTCTGTCAAAAACACTTGATTGGTCAAGTAAGAGCTGAATGGCCAATAGGCAGGCAGGAGAGGGATAGGCGGGGTTGCCAGGCAGAGAGAATAAACAGAAGAAAAAGAAGAGGAAGGAGCAAGAAATGGAGAAGGGGAGAAGGACAAAAGGGACCAGTCACCCAACAACAAGCCAGCCATAGAGAAGAAAAGAGAGGCATATGGAATAGAAAAAGGTAAAAGCCCAGAGGAAAAAGGCAGATCAGATAATTTAAGAAAAGCTGGCTAGGTAGTGGCACATGCCTTTAATCCCAGTACTCGGGAGGCAGAGACAGGTGGATCTCTTATGAGTTTGAGGACAGCCTGCCTTACCGTCTACAGAGTGAGTTCCAGGACAGGCTCCAAAGCTACTCAGAGAACTCCTGTCTTAAAAAGCAAAAAACAAAAAGAAAAAAAGAAAGAAAGAAGAAGAAAAAGAAAGAGAAAAGAAAAGAAACAAGCCAAGTTAAGGTCGGGCATTCACAAGTAAGATTAAGTTTCCATGTATTTATTTGGGAGCTGGATGGTGGGCTCCCAAAGAGCAAAGAGTAAAAATAAATGAATAAATAAATAAAATAACAACACACACGTACACTCTGATACTGAATGTACCTTAAAAACCGAACACACAACTCTTTCTGAAGATGTTAAATTTCACTTAACCACGTGTCTTTTGTAACTTTTTGAGTATTTTTTATAAAGCAACTTCATGATGAACTTGTTTTGTTTTGAGACAAGGTCTCACAAAAGCAAGACTGGCCTGTGTGCTACACAGTCAGTCAAACGACCTTGAACTTCAGATCCTTCAGAACCTCGGGTGTGCTGGTCAACCACTCTGCCACTGAGTTACAGTCTCAGCCCCCATAGTGGCCTTATATTTCCTATACGGTCTCCTGTATGAAATTAGTGAAATAAGACTGTACAAACTCATTTTAGGCCTTTGAAGAGAGGCCTATCCTCTCCCCCATACAATACTCTACTACCAAATATTCCCTGTGGATTTCAGGAAGGGTGAGATGGCCTCCTCCCTGGTTGTTCCGAGTGGCTTGAAGCAATAAAACTACAAATCTGTCCCTAAAATGTCTTCTGTCGGTGGCCTAAGGGCCTTTCTCAGTTGCCTCGGCCTACAAAGTCCATCCTGCAGACCAAACCCAGAGAACGGTCGCCCTAGCCCCTGGGTTCTCCCCTTTAAGCCGCTCCTTCCTTGGTATGAGCGACACCCAAAGATTGCTACTTCCCCGTCCCACCTCCATTGTCTCTCCACGCCTCTCTATGCGCATATGCACCTCCACATTGACTTTCTGTCCCAGGTCATGCACCCTGCCTCCCGCTGCTACGCAAATCTTCCAGCCGAGGCCTTTCCGAAGTTTGGCGGTCTGCTCTGCTGGCATCACTTTCTCCAAGGTCCCCTTTCACATACCCCATCCCCTATGCCGATCCCTCAGTTCTCCCGCGCAGTCCACCTCGAACGTGATCTCTGCCGAATTCTGTCCCTGCTTCCCGCAGAACCCCCTCAGTATCCTGCCGGGTATACCAGACCCTGCGGCCTGCCAGACCCAGCTTAGAATTCTGTCCCGGAGCCAACACCTTGCTCCAGGCCCCTACTCAGCATTCTGCGCCGGAACCGGGAACCGGCTCAGCATTCCGTCCCTCGACAGGGCCCTGTCTCCTCCTCCTCCTGTATTCGCTCAGCATCCCGTTCCCGGAATGGAGACCCTGCTCAGTATCCCATCTCGGAGTGGAGACGCTGAGTCCCTCCACTTTCTGCTCAGCACCCCTCCCCCGGGTGCGGACCCCTCGTCTCTCCAGATCCAGCTCATCATCTCGCCCAAGAGCCAGGACCTTGCTCACCATCCTACCCCGGGCCAGGACATCCTGCATTCTTTCAGACCCCGCTCAGCATCCTTCCTCGGAGCGAGGACCCTGTTCATCATCCTAACTGGGGTCAGGGCATCCTGCTCCACAGCTAGAACTGAACCTACAGCCGATCTCCTCCCTCGCCCATGCAACTCTTCCCTCTTGCACTTTCTCTACTTTGAACCCATCCCAGCAGAGTCCAGGAAGTAGCCTGGCACCGGAGACCGGCAGCGGCAGTGCCCAATGAGGAAAGTCAGCGGCGACGGTGGCCCCGCCCATACAGAGAGTACGGCCAATATGCGCACGGAGGCGGGACTTCCGCTGTGCCGCGGCGGGCGGGGGGAGCGCACTGTTG